ATTAAATCAACAGGACTTGGTCAAACTTGAATCTTTATCAAGGGTAAGAGGTGATGTGGGGTGGTAGGGATGGGATGGGCTGGGCCACCCTCACCTGAAGCATTCCATGGGCACAGTGTCAGGGTTTGGTACCACAGGGATTGCCAGCASTGGGACTCCCAGGATGTGGAGTCCAGGCAAGAACAGGTGGGATGTGCTTTTTGGGTGCCTTCTTCCAGCACCAGGCACCCTCCCATTGGGCTGGTGCAGCCTGCAGAGTGTAGGGATGGCCACAGGATCACAGAACTTGTATTCAAACCCCTTACAAATCCCATCACAAATACTGATTGCCACCAGCTCTTTGTATTTTCATTGTGGTTAAAATACAAATSAAATAAAGGCCAGAGCTTTTATTGTGTTGCAAACTGATAACTGTTTTGGGGTGTTTTTGTTCTACTTCCAGTGAYAAATGCACAGCTTTGGGTGATTTTTTTTTTATTATAAGGGGTTTTGGGTACAGTGATGGAATAGAAGGAAGTCGTTGAGTTTGAACGACTCAGGTGGTTTGTGAGTGTATTTTTTCCAATCTCAGAATCATTTGAAAGAAAAAATCACAAGAAGCCAGTATTACCACAGTCTTGTCTATGGCATGTATGTATGGAGATAACACAGAGCAAATGCTTTTCTGATGCCAACCACAATAAAACACAAAWCTTCACCATTAAGCCATGCCTTTATGTTTGGATAAATTAGATGTGGGGTGTTGGAGGACATGAAGGTAAAGGGCATTTTCAGGGCTCCCAGTCACATTCTTTGCCTGGAGACTCTTGGGAAGGTGGTGTTTTGCAACAGGATGAATTTTTGCAACAGGGAGATGGGATATGTTCCCTGTTATGCTGCCCAGCAGTGAGCAGTGGCCAAGGGATGTCTTGATGGACCATYACCACCTGAAAACTCCTCTTCTAAAAATCAACCCATGATTATAAAGACAYGCTTTCTCCTTCRGAAGTTCCTAGCTTTGATTTGCTTTCTCCTTCAGAAGTTCCTRGCTTTGATTTGCTTGTCTTTTGCYGTAAGTAAAATGTGCTTATGGTTGATCCATGTTCTTAGAAACTACTTATTATTAGTGTTTAAAGAAATAAAACCTGGGGCTCATTTTAAAACCCTATTCCTGGGACTTTTTGCTCAGGAAAAGAAGTGTTCAGCTGTGCATTGCTGCAGAAGGAAAAAGCAATAATGTCTGTGCATGCAGGGGTCACTTGAGCCTGTTGCAGATTTGATTATTTACAGAGTTGCTGTGAAATATTGCATGAACTTCAGAGATGAGTCATGGYAAATGGAAGAAAAGCCCCAAGAGCTGGCATGAGGCCATGCAAGGTCYCTGGTTATTCCACCACCCTGGGGAGATGCTGGGTACCACTGCCCAGTGAAGRATGCTGGGAGGTAAGGCTGTAGCAGCTACCTGTGGGAACTGAGTGTTTTCAAACCTGCTTCAGAATTATTATCAAGTGGCCTTTTTCTTCTTGTTAGATGGTTTGGGGGTTGATACTGTGTATTTTGGGACAGAATAGGGATGCTCAGGGTGATCCTGGCCCCAACTCCAGAGATGGCCTGGTTGCTGGAGATGGTTGAAGTTGTGCTACAGTTCATTGTCTCGACATGAGTCCACTGAAAGTCCTTTCCTGCTAGTACAGCAATTTGATGCTCTGTAATTGGGGCCAGCAGAGATGGAATGTGCCTGTTCCCAAAGGTGTGGGGTGGAGCTCCTGCCTGTATCCAGGGCACAGCTCCTCTGAGGAGATCCAGSAGAGGTTCCTCAGCAATAAGGACACAGTTCCTGGCACAGGATACTGCTCACAGCTGCCACTGCCCTGCAGCATCCATGTCCTGCCCTGAGCTGCCACTTCCAAGCAGGCAGTGGGGACCTGCAGCAGGAAAGGTTTGCTGGATTTGCATCCCAGTTTTTCTGTTCTGGGAGATGCTGCACCACCCAGAGCTGGGGGGTGGGAAGGGGCTCATTAACCTTCAGTATCTTTACAGCAGTGCTGTAAATGCACCAGATTCTCTCTCCTAAATGTGTTTTGTCAGCCTGAGCTGCTGTCTCACGTGTAACCCCAGCACTGCTGCCTCCCTGGCTGATGTGCTTAGAGAGGAAAACTGAACACAGGCAATTTTAGTCTTGTGCCAGCCACTGATGTGCTACATCAGCCTGCTCTTCAAGAGCCAGAGCCTTACAGACCAGATCTATCTTTCTTTCTTTCTTTGGTCTCTATTTATGCCACAATTTATTTTTTTTTAACATCAAAGCTATCTCTCAATGACCCAGAGGCAGTAAAGTGGGTGTGCAAATGACCCCAGCATCTGGGGACAGCCTTGCAGCCCCTCTGGAATCTTTGAATTCCTTCCACTGAGGTGACAAGCGTATTCAGCTTTCAAAAGCAGAGCCCAACCATAAACTTCAGCCCATTGCTTTTATCACACAGTGTTAGATTATCAACACCACCAATTAAAGTACACAAAACATAGAGTCATGGCACTTCTGCCTAACAATATGCAGAGATCTTGCCCTTTATAATTTAAACAGGGCATTAGCAATAATGCAGAAATCACTGAAGCACTGCCTGGCCAGGCTCACCAGCTKTGGGATGGGTTAATGTTGCTCTGGGCTGTGCTGTGCCACTGCACCCTCTGGACTGTGACCACAACTGGCTGTCAGATGTCCAAGAGATTTGATGGGCTGGTCATTCATCCTGGTGGAGCCTGGTGCTGTATCCTGTATGAACACTGTGCTTCTGTTTTCCAAGCTAAGTCAGCCCCTTTGGGAAGTGATTGCAGTGAGAGGCAGATTTACACACCAATCTTTCCCATCCCTGAGTCTCCGGACCTGCCTCAAGCTGGCCTCTGCTAATTGGCACATTCACATCCAGCCCCCTGYTCAGAGAAGCACAGGGTTTGATCTCTAGTGCCACTCAGAGCTCAACATGTGCTTTAATTGTCACAGCAGGCTCCAGCCAGGGGCTCAGTGGTGGAGGTGAGGCAGCCCTGCACAGGCTCACAGCATCTGGCCTGGCAGGGAGGGTGAGAGGGRCCATGGAGGGATGGGACAACCCTGGGGTAACTCCACACTTCTTACACACTTCATACCTGGCTGAGGGCTGTGTATTGCTGTGGGCCTTCCAGCCTTTGGCATCCAAAGTTTCCATGGAAGTTGAAGGGCTGCTSCTGGGGAGGTGAATTTTAACCCATGGTTCCCCTGCTCTGCTGCAGCTGCTCCTCACCCTTTTCCCCAGGAAGGTGGATTACTGGAAGGTTCTGCTCCAAGCAGCAGTGGGGAGGACGTGGAATGGCCACCCTGCTCTTGGTATCTTGGTGACCTTTGATCCCTCCAACTCTGGTAGGCTGGGAAGAGTAGGGAGAGAAAGCATCATCCTCTTGCAGGTAGCCAGGCACCTGCAATAARGTGAAACAAGAATAGGGATCCCAGAGGGGTACAAGGGAGTCATGGAGGGGGATATCTGTCCTGGAAAGAATTTCACAGTGCCAAACAGGGTTTGGGGTCTTGGGTCACGACTCCCATTTGTTTTCTTGTCTKCTTGAGCAGCCTGGTAATTGTCAAATCCTGCAGTCCATTGTGAAGGTATTTAACTGCAATGCAAAGAAACTGCTTGTAAATGCCTTGGTATCCACACACAAAACGAGCAAACAAACACCATTCGAAAAGATCTCAGCAGGAAGGACAAATATTGGGGAAAATGAAAAAGCTCAGCCTTGGGGCCCTTCTTGTCAGAGCTGCATTAGCCCAGGAGGGGAATGCAGGTGCTATGCCTAGAATCAAAGCTGCTTAATGCAATGAACTTTCCTCCTCCAGTTAAAGTTTTACTTTACAGGAGACCAGTGCAAAGATTAGTGGTCTTACACTCATTTTGTTGTTTTTTGTCCTGCTCTTCCTCTGTAGAAAGTACATTTTGTGCCCATGTGAGGCCTGGCTGACTGAGAGCATCATCCAATGAGAGCTGTAACTTGGCTGCTGGACCCATCAGGGGCTGATGTGCAAGATAATGACTTTAATCAGCATTAATCACCCTCCCAGCTGACTCAGACTTTGGCACTGTCTGCTACCAGTAAGGATGCCACTGTGCCCCCAGCCCTGCAGCTCCTCTCTCTGACCGTGTCAAGGACAGCAAAGCCCGAGCCAGAGCAAGACCAGCTCAGACCAGCTTGTGCAGATGTGCAAAGTTCATGAAAACCAAGTGAGCCAAGGCAAAAATATTTGGCAGCATCAGTAGTATTTGGCAGCACTGGCAGTATTTTCCAGAATCTGCAATATTTGACAGAGCAGCCATCAGCTGGTGGTGCCGAAAGGCTCAGTGTTCACACTGCTGTGGGATTTTTAATGAAAACCTCTTTTACTGTCACATTCTGGGTAATTTTGCTATTTTATGTCCACACAGACAGCTGGCTCCTCTGATAGGTGTGTACTGGCATTAGAGCTGCATGCTGAAGGGGCTCTGTGTGTGCAGGTGTCTGTGTATGGATACACAGAGAGACCTGTATACATCTGTGTTTATYTGTGCCTCTGGATGTGATATACACACACGGATATATTTTAAAGCAGGTGCAAAGTGCTATCTAAATAAAACACTTAGTCATTTTCTAGCTGTTTGCTACATATGCTGGTGAGGTTTCTTCTCTCTGATTCAGCAAGAGGATTGTGATGTGACATGCACACCCAGCCCAGAAGCTGAGGAAGGTGTTGAGCATCTCAAAACGGGCTGTAGTTTGTTCCCAAGTCCCTGGTATGTCACATTTCCAACTGTTYGACTGAGGGACAGCCCCAGATCACCCCTGCTGCTGGATCATTTGAATTTTCCAGATCCACTCCATGTCTTTGCAGGTCTCCCATTGTTTCGTGTGTGTCCCAAACACAGGGATTGGTGGTGGCTGCYTTGAGCTGAGCGGTGGCCAAATAATGCGTGGAAGACTTGGGTTTCTCATTAACTYCAGAGTTGATATAGTCCCATCTCTCCAAGCACCAGCCCGTTTTCCTGCCTCCATCCCAGCTCTGCTGTCCTTCCTTCCCTGCCCAAGCCCTCACCTCACACTGCAGCCCAGGACAGTGACTGTTCCCAGGAGGAGAACAAAGGACCTGTGGGGTGGATGAAAAAAGGAAAATGCAGACGGAGAAGGTAATAATGGCTCACTGGTATTTTTACACTAGACTTTCTAGCGAAACTACTAGAATTTCTGCAGGAACCCAGTACTGAGCAATCCCTTGCCAAAACCAAAACCAACAAAAAAATTAAATACCCTCTCTGCTAATTAATTGTGCACAGGGGCAAAGGGGCTATTTTTTATTTTTAAGAGCTCTGTTGGCTCATTGGATAAGTTTAACTGTGATGGGAGGAAAAAATGCTTGAAACAGTGCTGCTGAAAAACACTCTTTTGGTGTTTTTTTCCCAGCTATTGTGCTCCAGGGGTGAGGATGGGGATGGTGCATGACACCCTGCTGTACTGGGCAGAGATCTGGCTCCTGTGAGCTCCAGGGCCAGGATGGGCAGAGCAGCAGGGAGAGCTGGACTGTCATTGTGGGGTACCATCACTTTGCTCTGGGGGCCTGATCTTGTCTGTCCCCAGGGGCTTTCCTTCTTTGGGGTGAGCCATCCACCTGTGTTGCTGCAGCAGCATCTCTGGATGCCACTGTCCCAGCCAGCTGGGCAGCAGGGTCAGTTGGGACAGGGATGGGATGCAGCCCTCCCCCAGTTTTGGGCTCTGCCAGGACAGTTTGATGAGGTTGTTCTTTGCCTCCTGCCCCAGCACCTCACGGGAACACTGGTCCTGTCCGTCTTCACTGCAGTGTTGGGATTCTTCCAGTACGGCTACAGCCTGGGGGTCATTAATGCCCCACAGAAGGTAAGTCAAGTCCCCAATGTGTGTGTGGCCAAGGAACTATGGTTTCAGGGCAGCTAGGGCCAGTTTGTCCCTTGCAGAAGCCCTCAGGAGGGCTCTGTCCCTTCCCAAGCAGTTTCTCCTGCAGAACAGATCCCCCCATGACATGGCAGCAGGGTGAGAACATGGCCAGAACCCTCTGCTGGCACTTCCCCAGGGAAAAGGGTGAGGATTTGCACATTGTGGATCTGTCCCCACTGCAACACAGTCCCTGTGCCCGGGCTGARGGACTGCACCAAATCCAGTGCCAAATCTGGACATCACATTTACCCTGGCTCTGGGAGGGGGGATGCTCTGTGCCTGCCCTCGCTGCCCCTCCCTGCTGGGGTCTGGGCGTTGTGGAGCTGGGGGTCCCCAAGATTTCACCCCTGCAATGAAAAGCTTTTTCTGAGGCAGAAAAACACCAAAATGGGGGTTGGGGGTGGTTACAGATCTGAGCTGACAGCATTTCTCTTCTTTGCCTGTCACAGGTGATAGAAGCACACTATGCACACGTGCTGGGCATCGTCCTCCCAGACAGATATGCCACCAATGCCTCTGGGGAGGATGGCACATTCCTCCAGGCTGGCACAGAGGGCACACTCCCACCCCAGACTGACACCAGCGAGGACCCCTCTAGCTCCCCACACATCCTCACCATGTACTGGTCCCTGTCCGTGTCCGTGTTTGCCATCGGTGGCATGGTCTCCTCCTTCACCGTGGGCTGGATTGGGGACCGGCTCGGCAGGTGAGAGGCTCGTGTGTGCTGTGACTCTGTGCCACAGCCYAAACCCTTCTGATTGATATTTTCCTGTAGAACCATTTCCTCCCTGTAGAAATACAGTTAGTGGTTTTTCCCTATTTTAGGAAAAAAAAGGGAAGAAAAACCCTCCAGCTTCCAAAATACTGTTTCAATCATCACAGAGGTTGGACTTACTAAAATCCTCAGTTATAAATCAGACATTTTATTGCAATTTGAGCACTTCAGACAGCAGCTGATGAGCAGCTTTGAATAACWTCCAAATTCCCCCTTTTCTTTCCATGGCAAAAAAAAGAGGAGGGCATCTGAATGCCGTTTGCACAGGATGTGTAGTAAAATTCATAAATAAYCATTTTAATGTTGATTGCATCCCTGGACCCATATTTTGCAGTTCCTATTATCATTGTTTTGCCCCTGTAGTGCTGATTAAGTCACTTCATAGCTCCTGTTGTGTGTTGCAATGGCTGCTTTGGCTGAGCAAGGTGCCAGAGGAGCTGTGCTGCTGCTGCCTTGCAGGGTGAAAGCCATGCTGGTGGTGAACRTCCTCTCCATTGCTGGGAACCTCCTCATGGGGCTGGCGAAATTTGGGCCATCCCACATCCTCATCATCTCTGGGAGAGCAGTCACAGGGCTCTACTGTGGTGAGTCCAGTCTGGGTCAGGCACAAAAAGCAGCTCCTTGGCAGGGGGCTGGGTGCTGTTCAGAGTTTCCTATATTTTTCAATCCTTTTTTTAGTTCAGAAGGGGTTTCACAGGTGCAAATTTCCCTCTTCTTCCTACGTCTGTCTTTCACAATCCAAAATCTTTCCCAGAAGTATTTGGGTTGGGTCTATCATTAAATTGATTTATTTGACATACCCTAGAAAGGAGTGAGTCCCTCTGTATTTCAAGGCTGGGTCTTGCTGGTGGCTACTGTTAAGAGCTCAGCATTAGCCAGGCTGGTTAAAATGCTCCCTCGACAGAGAGGATAAAAGTGCTGGCAAATAATAGGGAATTACAACAGAATTAATTTAGAAAGAAAGCTCTTTATCACTGTCATTGGTATGCAAATACAATACTCTGTTTTGATGTTTCAAGGCAAATTTTAAGGAAGTTCTTTGCCCTGTGATAACTTCTCCCAGCAGACAGTCCCTGCTCTGTACTCTGATGTCTGTGTTCCCAGTTTGGGGCTCTGAATCCAGGGACATCCCAGCACATTCCCAAGGTGTATTTGGTTCCCAGCCAGGTGCAAGGGGCTTGGTGGGGYGTGGGGTGCAGCACACAGGCTCCATCCTCCTTTCCCTTTTGGGAAGCAGTTTCTGCTGGTTGCTGAGYTGTGTCTAGAAGAGGTGACACCCATGTGTGCTCGCTGCAGGGCTCTCCTCTGGACTCGTGCCCATGTATGTCAGTGAGGTTTCTCCCACGGCCCTTCGAGGAGCGCTGGGGACGCTGCACCAGCTCGCTATCGTCACGGGTATCCTCTTCAGCCAGGTAAGAAGGAAAACACACACATCCAGAGAAGGTGTTTCAGAGATTAGGAAGACCCCAGTGATATACTGGGGTATTGTTTACCATTCCACCCCAAAACTGAAGCCATGTGCAAAACAATCTGCTCTAATGGGGTTAAACCCCTGCTTTGAGTAAGAGGTCTTAACAAAGATATCTTCTCAAAAAATAAAAAATACTTCTGCAAACAACTTCTCCTCTCCCTGAGGAAGCTTTTTCAGCATCAGGCTTGATCCTGAGCATGAGACCCCTGATAATCAGGTTCTCAAAAATGGCTTCTTTAGGGAAACAGGGAACCCAAAGTCCCAATCAACATCACCCACCATGGCACAAGTCCCAGCTACACAACAGGTGGGCACAAAAGCRTACAGAAAACAAACACATCCAGAAAAAGTGTTGGTATTTGCTTCCATTTTTCTTCCCCTTTAAAATGCCATAGTGGTTAATCACTTCCTTTTCTTAGGGTGCAAAATGATCCATTCAAATATGCCTCAATTATTCCAGGTCCTTGGACTAGACTTTCTCCTGGGCAATGATGAGATGTGGCCCCTGCTCCTCGGTCTGTCTGGTGTGGCTGCCCTGCTGCAGTTCTTCCTGCTCTTACTGTGCCCTGAGAGCCCCCGATACCTTTACATCAAACTGGGGAAGGTGGAGGAAGCTAAAAAAAGTAAGAAARATACATTCTGGGCTTGTCTAGAGCTGTTTTCACACTATAGATAGTATTAAACGCAGAAGGAAAAGCCCAGCAGAGAAATCTCATGTGACTGGTTGCTCCATCTCATGCTCTGAGCTCCTGAGGTATGAATTAGCTCTGGACCAAAAACCACTGAGATGTTTGCATGGGACTAAGCAGCACTGCTGAAGGGTGAGGCTTGAGAGTGATGTCTCAGGGCTGCTGCAGAGCTGATGTGCTGCTGTCCCTGACCAAGCAAATGCAGCCTGGGTCCTTGGATGGGCCATAGGAGCCCTGAGAGCAAGAGGACATGGCTGTCCGTGGGGTTGGCTTACCTTGAGTTTTGGCTAAAGACATTCTTGTCCTTATTTATGCCTTATCTATTACTGAAAATAAAATGTCAATCTCGGTTTTTTTCCCTAAGATTTGAGAAGGCTTAGAGGAAACTGTGATCCAATGAAAGAGATTGAAGAGATGGAAAAGGAAAAGCAAGAAGCTGCTAGTGAGAAGAAAGTTTCCATAAGACAGCTTTTCACCTCTTCCAAGTACAGGCAAGCTGTCATTGTGGCACTGATGGTGCAAATATCCCAGCAGTTCTCAGGAATCAACGCGGTGAGTCCCCCCAAAAATGTCTGTCTTTCAAGAAACCCATCTGAGCATGAAAAGGCAGCTCTGGCTCCATCCAAGCCATGCAGGGATGAAAGAATGCTTTGCTATGGCTGCAGTGGGCTGCTTGGTCCCTGCCAAGCTGGCTGTGGGAGAGCAGGAGGGGAGATGGGTGGGAAGGAGTCCAGCACAAAACCAGCTGGCACAGCAGGGTCACACTGAGCCCTCCCATGACCCTCCACCTACCCAAGTTCCTCAGCAGTTTGCTCTCTTTAACGATATGCTCACCCCAGAAAACTATTTTCTAGCCATTTTTGCATCAGCTCCTGGAATACCAGAAATCACCATTTGACAACCAGAAACATTAAGTAGTACCCAGGGATGCCCAGCCTAGCTGGCTCCAGGCCATGCCCACCGCATCCACCTGCCAATGGGTCAGCCACTCATTTACCTCCTGCCCTTARCTTTCACCAGAAAGAAATCACCTTWTTCTTGGAGAGAARGARGAAATCATTCTTCCTTCGAGTCACTGCAATGAGAATATTTTAAAATTCATGTCAAACTCGGTCATATTAAGATATTTGTCTTCAGTGCTCAGTGATGGTGATCTGGATTTTAAGATTAAACATGGGCTACATAGAAGAAAACAGTTTTAATGTGCAAATGCAGTAGCTCAAGAAGGGATTTTTAACTCCCTCAGGCTCATTTGAAATTTTCAGCTTTAATTATTGTAACAAGCCRTTAAAAGCTGAAAAATTAATCATAATTAAATTACTCCACATCTCAGTCAAGTAAGCRCAACTCTTCCCTGATGAGAACAAAACGTTTCCCCAGCCCTGTTGCCTAATCCTGCATCTTGATGTATTCTGATAGATCTTTTACTACTCCACAAACATTTTTGAGAGAGCTGGGGTTGACCAACCAGTTTATGCAACCATCGGTGTTGGAGTGGTGAACACGGTCTTCACTGTTATCTCTGTAAGTAAATACTTCTGCCCCCTGCACTACAAAAACACGTAACCTACAATGTGGTTTTGAAACATGATTTATCCTGGAGCTGGGATTTGCAGTGTTGCAGGACTGACCCTGAACAACTTATGAGAAAAAAAAACATTCCCTGGGCAAGTTTCATTTGAAAATTTAAGCCTTGACATAGGGCATTGCTATCAACCAGCACTGCTAAATGCCTCATAAGTGGAAACTGCACCACTGTGTTCAGAGAAGCTCTGAAAACTCAGCATTTTCCCCCAAAATAAAAGTTGCCCATGAGACTGCAGTTCTGCAGGTCCTATTCCCCCAGGGAGCAGGCAGGGGATGGGGGCTGTGAGGAGGAAGTCACCAGCTCACAGTCTGCTCTTATCAGTTATCTTTTGAATGGTTTTCTGTATGTACATAGCACCTGCACGAGTGATATCCAAGGCTATTCTACAGTAATAAAAGTAATCCAGAACCTATCCTCATCCTATTTARGCAGGGCTCTGCAGCAATAAAAGGATGGTTCTGTTTCCACAGACTTTCCCTTCATTTGTCTCTCTCCTGAGAGGATTATCACAATTCCTGTCAGCTGGCAAATAGTTTTATAATGTGGCCATTAATAAAAGATGAGGAAATGCCAAGTCCTTTTCCCTCATACCTCTCAAGAGATTCAGGGAGTAAAGGACTTTCACCAACATGCTGCAAGACTGGCTGCAAGGCAGAAATATACAGCTCCAAGAGATTTAGGATAAGGAGAAATAATTTTAAACTAATCCAGGTTTGGATTAGATATTAGAAAGAAATTCTTGTCTGTGAGGGTGGTGAGTACATGGCACAGGTTGSTCAGAGAGGTTGTGGATRTCCCAACCCTGGAAGTGTTCAAGGCCAGGTTGGASAGGGCTTGGAGGAACCTGTTCTTGTGGAAGGTGTCCCTGCCTATGACACGGGGTTGGAACTGGATGAGCTYTAAGGTCCCTTCCAACCCAAACTGTTTTAATCCAGCATGTGTGAGAAACGAGGTCTTAGGGTGAACCTGTTTTACAGGAAGTCCATCACAGGCTCCATACTGAGGAGAAAACATGATGTTTTTTGTGAAATGAGGCACAGAGGTGTGCAGCTGGAAGAAGYCTTTCTTCAGTATGGAGAGTGTCCTCCAGTTCAATCCCCACCCCAGCTCTGTCGTTCTTRCAGCCTTGGGCATTTGCTCTTTGCTTCTTTTGGCCATAAGCACTTAAAAATTACCTGCCTTTGTCAATAAATGACAGACCCTGATCAAAAGGCAGAGGCAGCCAGGTGGATCTTGGCAGGGGGAGCAGGGAGCACAGATTCATCCTCTGTGACTTCAGGTGTCAGCACATGAACCGCCTGAGCAAAAGAGACGGTGTCGTGGAAGTGTAAATCATGGCTGTAATGGCAGGAAAGGTGAAGCTGCTGGCCAGAGGTGTCCTTTTGAGCAGAGGGAAAGGAGTGCWCAGGCTCAGAGACTGGTGCATGGTTAGGCCAGGCCAAGCCAKTTGCACTGTCCTCAGGAGGGACTACAACTCCCCACCAGGTGAGGTGTCTGGTACAGACTTGGGTATCTGTCAAAAGCTGGGTGAGATGACTGGAGTCACCAAGAGGAGTTAAGAAAGAGCAAACTAAGCCTTGTGACTACCAGGGAAGCAAAGCGAATATGGGAGTGATTGGAGGAAAAATCCTGATTGCAACTGCTACACAACTATCCCTGCCGTGGGACAGGCAAGGYGCAATGACCTGTGATGTGACCTGAATCATGCTACATTTTAAAGGCTGTTTCAATCTAATTCTTCAACCTAGTTCATTTTTAGTTCTTGGAAGGAAAAAAAAAGAGAGACAAAAAGTTAACAGTCAGCAATTCATGTATAGGAAGGATGGGAAGTCCCAAGAGCTTGGAAATGCAGAGGCTCTGAGTGTATGCGCCTTTGCCTTGCCCTTGGCAGGGTCGCTGCTCAGTCTGGCTCCCCAACAGTCATCAGCRGAGTTCCTGACACTGGGAAACCAGCACATAAATCTCTACCATGAGAGCTAAGTGGGCAGGAGGTAATAGGTTGATTATTGCTAATGGACCTGATCCTGAGAGTGGTGGTCCTGGACATAGAGCTGCTGCATGTGTTTCTACAGGTCCTTCTGGTGGAGAAAGCAGGCAGGCGGTCCCTGTTCCTGGCTGGTTTGATGGGCATGTTARTCAGCGCTGTGGCCATGACAGTCGGACTTGTGCTCCTGGTAAGGATTTCTCTCCATTTTTTCTCCATGATTTGCAAACGAGAGAAGATCCCTTCAAAGTCAGTCCAAACCACTGGTGCAAGCCCCTGTGAAGACAAAAAAAACAAAAAGGGGTGGCCTCCTTTTCTGAACACCCTGCTTTTTAAAGGGTGCTGTTCTGCCTCATTCTGCTGAGCTGCAGGCAAGGAAAGAGCCCAAAGGCTGAGCTGATAGCTATGAACACCTGCAAGCAGCAAGGCTCGCACCACATGTCCAGCTACACAAGAGTTTAGAGCCTTAGTTATTTGTGTCCAGCTGCCATTTGTCTGAATAGAAACAAATTTCTGAAAAAGAAGCCTAAATAAAGTAATTAGTGATAATTAATGAGAGTTACTTTGGGACTATAACACCAAACTSTTGCAGAGCCAGTTTGCGTGGATGAGCTATGTCAGCATGGTTGCGATCTTCCTCTTCGTCATCTTCTTCGAAGTGGGGCCTGGGCCCATCCCCTGGTTTATTGTTGCTGAGCTGTTCAGCCAAGGCCCACGCCCCGCTGCCATCGCTGTTGCTGGCTTCTGCAATTGGGCCTGCAACTTCATCGTGGGCATGTGTTTCCAGTACATAGCGGTAAGAAATCCCTCAAACCATACAAATTAATGACAGGCAYGACCCCACTGCTGGGCTCCCAAAGCAGCCCAGCAGGATGTGGATGTGTCTCCCAGATCTCCATCCCCTGGTCTGGCTGGGCACATCCCTGCGGTGCTGATGGTGGCGTCCCCTGTTCCCACTTTCCCACTGCAGGATCTCTGTGGACCATACGTGTTTGCGATCTTCGCGGGCCTCCTCCTCATCTTCTTTTTGTTTGCATACTTCAAAGTACCSGAGACGAAAGGGAAGTCCTTTGAGGAGATCGCAGCCGTGTTCCGCCGCAAGAAGCTCTCAGCCAAAGCCATGACTGAGCTKCAAGACCTGCGAAGAAGTGAGGAGGCATAGACACCCCACACASCCAGAAAGGAGGGACTGGGCATGGACCTCCTTCAGCCACTACGGGAAAAATGTTGGGCAGAAGTGTCATTTCACAAAAAYCTTGCAGCTGGCAGACCCATCCATCGGATTCCTTCTGGCTGCCGYGGTTCACACCTCCCAGCCATAGGTGCTAACATGGCATTTTACTCTGAGACACTTGGTATGACTGGGCTGGATGAAGAGCCAGGGAAAGGACTGGAGAAATATGTTACAAGTGTGTCTCCATGCCCTGTTGGAGAGCCCAGTGGGACAATGATCTTACCAGCTGGCATTGAGCAGGGCCATCTCTTGGCTGAAATGAAGGAAAGAGGCTGCAGCATCGTGTTTTCACCTTTTYATCCCCATCTCTCTGCTTCATTCTGCTGAGTGACCTGGTGGTTTTAGAATACAACTGCTAGTGCAGTTGTGTCACCAGAACACAGCACTGATCACCCCAGGTGCTGAGGAAAACAGGTGGAGCAAACTCCCCCTTGCTCTTCCTTCTGCAAAGAAAGACGGTGGATCCCACCTGAACTGGTTGGGATGTACCTCACTTGCTTTGTTATCTGTGTTTTATGGAAATGCTGTCCGATTGCATAAGGATTTCTCAGTCACAGTATTTTTTAAGGGAATCTTAGAAACTGGCTGGGCTGTTTTCCTTACATTTCAGCCAGACTATTTAGCTCCCTCTTTCCTCCCAGGAAGCCTCTCCTSTCCCTGCTGCAGCACAAGACACAGCACAACACTGACCACACAAGAGGCCTGGGCACTCCTGGTGTCCTTGTGAGGAGACTCAATTCCTGCTGCACCTCCTTCCACTTCTGCACCTGCCTTCCCTTCATTTCATACAGTGCTCAAGACCCAMAGGCTCCAGTTCCAGCCAAGGGTTCAAGCTGCCTGTAGAGAAACAATTAATGATGACACAAAGAAGAAATGGGTGTTGGAAGGTTAACTGGAAGGTGCCACTTACGCAGCTCCTACTTTGCATCACTTAGCATTTTGCTGGCTGGGTGTGCTTCAGCCAAGATAGTGTGCAAGAAGAAGGTCATGCTGTTTCCATAGCCTTGTTTGTGCTGTGTTTGCTTCTTTATGAGACATTTTTATATGGCAGAATCAAACTCCGAGGATTTTTCTTCCTTTTTTGGGGGTATATGTTGAAACCATTGTAAAAGCCTGCTCTCTGCTTGACTTTTAAGATTTGCATGTTGTTTGTTGTGATACCAGGTTACTTTCTAGCAACTTTCTCAGGATAGAAACCCATTATTTATTTAGAGATTAAACACCAGCCTTGCTTGGTCGCTGTGTGCTCATTGAAGCTGCAATGCCCAAAATGTAACAGAGGATTGAGCATAAGGAAAAACACAGAATAGGTGGGCTGAGGAGGATCATGCTGCTGCCATATGTTTGGTTTTAGGGGACAGTCATGCTCCTTTCCAGTCCTGTGCCTGAACTTTTTTCCTTTGTAGACTTTCTTGGTATTAAGACCCTACAGCAAATTCTGATCATTTCCAAGTGACAGAAAGAGCAGCCACAAGGTCCACTGCTAGAAATGTCTGGCCCCAGTGTGTGCACTGAAGCAGTAAGATTGTACCAAAAGCTTTGCTGGAGCGACTGCTGGGGTTTAACTAGTGGAGAACTGGGTCACTGCTGTCATGTGCTGCAGTGGTGGGTGACCCAGGTCTGACACGGGGCATGCAGGGTGGCTGGAACCAAGGCCCAGGCTGGGGCTGAGAAAAAGGCAGCAGAGCTTGGGCACAGGTCTGTGTCGAGCTGTCCATCTGTGTGCTGCATACAGGTCTCTCCCAGGTGAGGCCAGCGGCCACAGCAGGCTCGGAAACTCTCCACAGTGTTTACTGKAAGTTAAATATTATAATGGATTGTTTGAAAATACAAAAAATGGGGAAAAAAAGAGGGTTCTTGATATCAACATTGTTATCTATGTCTGTTAGATAAATGATGACCAACATCTATGGCATGTGTTGGCTTGTGCTGCTGTTTTTTCTCCCTATTATATCTCAGATATACATCCAACCTAGGTGGGAGCTATTTTTCTAGCAGGACACATTTTCCCCATAGGCAGTAAAAGCTGTGCAAGCCCTCAGCCTTCAAATTCCTTTGAAATGGGTGGTCCAGAGGTGAGACTGTGAGCTTGGAAGCATCCCTGGAGCCGGTGGGAGCTGGCTCCAGGCTGGGATGAACTCTGACTGGAAGGGTGCCAGTGTCCAACCCCAGCTGACCCCACTGTGAAGCAGCTCTGCTTGCATGGTGCTGGTGAAGCCTAAACCCTGCTGCTGGGGCCTCTCTAAGCACTAAAGGCAGGAGGAGCATTTGGGGAGAGGTGAARTTCAAAGCAAAATCTCCTGCTCTGAGGGCCCAGCCAGGCTGGGTTCCCRGTGACCATACAGGGGGTCCTAAACTTCTGCTAAGCTTCTTCCTAATGTCTGTGGGGCATCAGTGTCTCTGCCAGCAACTCAGCAGTGAGGGGTCATTTATCAATCAACACTGAGCAGTCAGTCCTTGTTTTCCTGTGTCACTGGTGAATGAAAGCCTGATCTAATTACTGTAGTGGGGAACATAAATTAGTTTAACAAAGCATACGGCATTAACATTGCCCATAGCTACAGTGCTGAACTTCCCAGAAGAGCTGTCTGGGAAGGAAAATGGAGTGTCAGGCTGTGTTTCCTTGCAGCAGCTGCCGTGTGGACGGTAAGGGAGTTTTCTCTTTCCAGCCTGGGACAGGATGAGCAGAGTTCAGCACTGCTGACCCTTTGTTCTCCCCATAGCTGCAATGGAAGGATCAAGCTGGGTTGAACTATCACAAGAGTGCTTTAACCATATGCCARCACAGGACGGGGTCATTAGAGTCAGCTAAATCTGCAGATATGTTTACTTTTGTCTTGTCCCATCAGGCCAGTAATTAGGACTGTACACTTTATCTGTCCTTGCTACATGCAAGTTCCAGTTAAAACTTGTTCTTGAGACACAGCTTGTTGAATCATTATTTTTCTCTCTCACCATTACAGCTTTACTAAGTTGCTAATCATTAAGAAAATTTAAAAGACYGAGTCAAACTTATTAGCTAAATGGTCTTTGCATTTTAGTTAACATGCTAAATATGTTCTCATACCATGCCTGGCTAATAATGCAATATAATTAATAATCCCTGAGAAAGCATCTTGTCAGCAAGAGCTTTGACAGTGTTTTCCTAATGTGCTGAGAYGACAGCCATTAAGACGTTTTTGTTGTGCCAACGGTATCTAGTCTCCCACTCTCTAGGTTTAATTTTAAAATTAGTTTGACTTCCCTAATTCAATAAACTCAGGACATTTGGCCCCATTAATGCTCTCCACACTAATTTATCACAGGTTTTTCTGCCTCACTTCAACTTGTTTTTCATCACTGCGAAGTACTACCCTCTATCTCTGGAGACAAACAGATGATAATGATGAAGCTAACCCAAGTCTGCGTATGCAGGTACAAAGTCTTTGAGGTGTGATGAATTTTCTGAGGTGTTAGATGTCCTAATCTTTCACTGAAATCTATGGGAGCTGAGGCATTTCAAGGCAGGACATCAGGCCTTGATCCAGCAGAATGTGTAAGCATTAGATTAAATTTAAGGTAACTGAGAGTGCTCAAGTGTTTCACTAAATCCTGAAGCAACACTTGCAAATTTTACCCAGAGGCACAGCCTTAGTAGCTGTKCTGAAAGGGAAAGAATCTCCTCCCCAGCACCGGGAAAATAAATCCTGGCTGTCGATCATTAGTCCTTAAATTTTACAAGCTGTAGATACAACTTCAGACCCGAGGCTTGGGTAGTGTCCTGCGTTTTTGCCTCCCTGCACTCTGCTCAGGAGAGAGAGTGGCTCTATGACTATGAAAAGCATCGTGGGTGAGATACCACTGCTCCAGCACTGTTGCAGCCCCTGGAGGAGGGAACAGCTGCAGTTACTTTGTGCTTTCCGTCTTCCCAGTGGGGAAGTTACAATTACAGTGTCCCACCAGCTCATAATGTCACTGCACTGTCACTGCTTGCCTCTGATCCTCAGTGTGCACACAGGGCAATTCCCTGGGTATTCGGACATGRGCTGGGAGGAGGAAGAGACGGAAAATGGCAGAAATAAAGCAGTGCCTGTACACAGTGGGTGCCTATAGCAAGGTCACTGCCCTGACTCCATTCCTGTCACACTGACACACTGTMCATAGGAGCTCTGAGGGCCTGCTGAGCGTGACACTGTCCTGTGGAGGGGATCACACATCCACAGCCTCTCTCATGTCCTCCTGCTCAAGGCTGCGCCCAAAAGCTGGTGTGAACCCTCACCCCAAGAGTCAGGACATGGCGGGATCCCAGGAAAGTCAGGTCAGCAGCTGAAACAGAGGCACTGCTCGGGTTGGAACAGGGCTGTTTACACCACTGTGCTCATGACCTGTWATTTCTAATTGTGTGACCTGACCCACGGCCCAGGGGTTAAACACCAACTCCTGCCTTCCAGTGGGCTGGCTGGAAACAAGGTGGGATGTTTATCTGCACTGGCTGAAACCCATATTCTCCAGGCTTGGCTTTGATGAGGCATTTTAGGGCATCAGACACTTCTCCAGAACATAACTGAGAACAGACACAATTCACTTAGTTTTAACCTTCCAAAAGTTTTCTAATCCCTCTTTACTTCTTAAAGATACAGACGGGAGAAGCAAAGCTTGATAACATCCTGAGCGTACTTGGAAGTGTGTGACCCAGCTGTGCTACACTGGAAAGTAAATACCTTTAAATGTGAAAGGCCAGGGTATTTTATTTACAAATGTGCTTTGAATCAAATTGCTGTTCTGGTATAGAAAAGTGGGATAATCATATTAATATTATCAAGAAACACATTTTAGAAAATAAGTGTTGATCCARACAAAGGAATGATGCCTGCAGGCAATGGCTGATGGATTGGATTTCCAATCTATTTTATTGAATCTCAAATAAAGGCTGACTTGGAGTATTTGTTTTGTGTCTGAAAAAATAAATATAATCTACAGCTGCACTTCAGTAAAAAGATTTGATTTAGCCCAGAAGATCTCTCAAGTAATTCAAAATTAATCTGTTAATAGTGGAAAATCAACCAAATTTATCAACTGGTACTTGAGAATAAAATAATTATCAGTAGAACTTAGCCCCAGGCTGCTGCAGTTTGGGTAGAGAGCAGTTGGTCTTTTCTCACAAAGTATTTTGTTAGAAGATAAAAAGCCCTTAAGCGTGTGCAACTTGTCACATGCTTGCAAGTAAACAAATACACACTGCACATGATAAAATACTTAACAGGGTTCCCCAGATTCTGCTTATCAACTGAGACAGCAGTAAAATGGGCAGGATAAAGTGTATATCTCCAGAGCAGGCTGAGTGAGGCAGCGTCCAAGGAAAG